GTCACACATGAGCTTTTGGGGGACACCTCATATCTAAATCATAACATTGATATATTATTATTCACTATAACAAATGCCCTATTGTTGGAAGCCCTCTCTTGAATCTATGACATTCCCATTCTTAGCAATCTTGGGGGCTTGTGTGCATTGTGGTAAAGAATTTTAATCTCCAAGACATTTTAGGATTTAGAAGCAGGATCTCATTCTGAAACAAATGGCAGTATTGTATAGTTTTGGCTCCAAACAGGGAAGCTTTATGTGCTTTGTAAAGTGTTCTAAAAACCCCATCTGATAGCTTTTAATATTAACATGTGGATCTTAAAGAAAACTAAGATTGATGAGTAGACATTGGGTGTTAAGCAACAAAGTAAAGCTTTGCAATGGAATTGAAGTTGCCATCAAAAGCCTACCTACAGAAAAGCCCAGGACCAGATGGATTCTCAGCTGAGTTCTACCAGATCTTTAAAGAAGAACTAACACGAAATCTCCTCAAATTATTCCATGAAATAGAAAAGGAGGGAACCCTTCCAAACCCATCTATGAAGCTAGTATCATGCTGATATCAAAACCAGACAAATACACATCAAGGAAAGAAAGCTTCAGACCAGTATCCCTGATGAACATAGATGCTAAAATTCTTAATAAAATTAGTGGCAAAATGCACGAAAAACTTATTGAAAAGGTAGTGCACCATGATCAAATGGCGATCATGACAGGGATGCAAGGTTGGTTCGACCTCTGGAAATCAATTTATGTAATACATCACATCAATAGACTTAAAGACAAGAATCATGTGATTATCTCAATAGGTGTAGAAAAAGGATTTGACAAAATACAGCATCTATTTGTGTTCAAAACACCAGAAAAACTAGCAATAGTAGGAACATACCTCACGTCATTCTAAAAGGAGAAAAATTGAAAGCATTCCCTCTAAAAACTGGAACAAGACAAGGATGTTCCCCTTCTCCACTTATATTCAACAGAGTCTTTGAAACCCTAGCCAGATAAATTAGGCAAAATAAGGAAATAAAAGGGATATGAATAGGAAAAGAAGAGCCCTACTTGATGATGACATGATTCTATATTTAGAAGACCCAGAAAATTTCTAGAACTCATAAATGAATTCAGCAAAGTAGCAGGATACAAAATTAACTCCCATAAATCAGTTGCATTCCTGTACACTAATGATGAGTCAACTGAAAAAGAAATGAGGAACGCTCTTCATAATTGCCTCAAAAGAGTAATTTTATTGGGGATCAATCTAACAAAAGAGGTGGAAGACCTCTACAATGAAAGCTACAGGACACTAAAGAAAGAAATTAATGAAAAGATTGCCCGTGTTCTGGGATAGGCAGAATTAATATGGTCAAAATGGCCGTACTACCAAAAACACTATACAGATTTAATGCAATTCCTATTAAAATTCCAGTGATGTTCTTCATAGGCAGTGGCTCAGTGGTAGAGCACTCGCCTCGCATGCGTAAGGCCCTGGGTTTGATCCTCAGCACCACATATGAATAAATAAATAAGTAAAATGGAGATGTTGTGTCCATCTACAACTAAAAAAAAAAAAAAAAAAAAGAAATAGAAAAAGCAGTCATAAAATTCATTTGTAAAAATAAGAGGCCTAGAATATCCAAAGCAATCTTTAGCAAGAAAGGTGAAGCAGGAGGCATCACAATATCAAATCTTAAATCATACTATAGAGCTATCGTAACAAAAACAGCATGGTATTGGCATCAAAACAGACATGAAGATCAGTGGTCCAGAATAGAAGACACAGAGACAAATCCACATAAATACAGTTATCTCACACTAGACAAAGAAACCATAACCATTCATTGGAGAAAAGAATAGCCCCTTCAAGAAATGGTGCTGAGAAAAGTGGAAATCCCTGTGTAGCAGAATGAAATTGATCCTCTATCTCTCACCCTACACAAAACTCACTGAAAGTGAATCAAGGACTTAGACATTAGACCAGAGACTGTGTGCCCACTAGAAGAAAATGTAGGCCCAACTTTCCATCATGTAAGCTTATGAACTGACTTCCTCAACAAGACTCCTAAAGTGCAAGAAGTAAAATCAAGAAAATCTTTGCTACCTGCACCTAAGATAGAGCATTAATCTTCAGGATATAAAAAGAACTCAAAAAACTTAACACCAACAAAACAAAACAAATAACCCAATCAATAAATGGACAAAGTAACTGAACAGACACTTCTCAGAAGAAGAAATATGATCATCAACAAATATATGAAAAAATGTTCAACATTTCTAACAAGTAGAGAAATGCAAGTCAAAATTACATTGAGATTGAGATTCCATTTCACTCCAGAATGGTAATTATCAAGAATAAAAGCAACAATGAATGTTGGTGAGGATGTAGGCAAAACGGTACACTTAGACATTGCTGGTGGAACTGCAAATTGGTGCAGCCTCCCTGGAAAGCAGTATGGAGATTCTTCAGAAAACTTGGAATGGAACCACCATTTGACCCAGTTATCCTGCTCCTTGATATATACCCAAAGGACTTAAAATCAGCATAGTATAGTGATGCAGCCACATCTATGTTTACAGCAGCTCAATTCATAATAGTTAAGCTAAGCAATGGATCCAATCTAGGTACCCTTTAACACATGAGTAGATAAAGAAAATACTGTATATATACCCAATGGAATGTTACTCAGCCATAAAGAAGAATGAAATTATGCCATTTGCCAGTAAATGGGTGGAACTGGAGACTATCATGCTAAGTGAAATAAGCCAGTCCCAAAAAAACAAAGGCCGAATTTTCTCTCTCATATGTGGATGATGACACACAGAGGGGTGGAGAGAGGGAAGAATAGAAGTACTTTGGATTAGACAAAGGGGAATGAAGGGAAGGGAGGGTGGATGGGAATAGGAAAGACAGTAGAATGGACTGACATAGCTTTTCTATGTTCATATATAATACATGACCAGGAAAACTTCACATCATGTACAATCACAAGAATGGGATCCTAATTTGAATAAGTTATACTTCATGTATGTATGTCAAAATACATTCTACTGTCTTGTGTATCTAAAAAGAACAAATTAAAAAAAGGGGGGGATAAAAACACAAAACGAGGCTTTGTGGTGTTGATACTATTTGAGGTCAGGCCATTGGGTTGTTATTGTCACCCCAGGAACATGTAGGCACTATGTACTCGGTCTCTTTGAGTTGATGCTTTTTCCGAGGGGATTATGTATTAAGGTTTCTGCACCCATGTGTGTTTAGAATTACATATTGCACTCATTTTTATATATAGAGGTCCTCAAACAATTAACACCTTTGTCTATAAAAAACAAACAAACATGATCCTAATTGAGCAGGAAACACTCACACAAAGAATCATTTTCACCAGGAATTTTCTGGCCTAACTTCATCAAATTTAAATTAAAGGGTTTGAAATTTTGTTTCTCTTTGCCATCTTTTTCCACCAAAATCCATCAGTGCCTTTAACTGTGAAACTCTGGTATAAGTTTAATGTTTATGTGATACCTGAAGGACCAGATAACTGATGTACCATGTGTTTAAGAGTCAGTGGGTGTTTTTAAAATCAAGTTCCAGTGAAAAATTAGAAAGTACAGTTCAGAATGAGATTGGCTATGTGAGAACACTATGTCATGTCAGGGGTTTGCTGAGGATAAGTGATGCAGTGTTGCTTTTGGTGTCCACCTGACCATCCTTGTTTTTCCTTCCTTTTATCTTTAACTTAATTAGCTATTTAAGTTAAGCATATGCACCATCTGTTTTTATTGGTGGTGTTTAGTTTTTTTAAATTTATTGAAATAATTTAACCCCATATAGTTTTCATTCTGATGATATAAGCTGCTTTGAAGATGATTCTGACATTTCACTGTTTTGTTTTGTTTTGTTTGAGAGAGAGAGAGAGAGAATTTTTAAATATTTATTTTTCAGTTTTCGGTGGACACAACATCTTTATTTTATTTTTATGTGGTGCTGAGGATCGAACCCAGCGCCCCGCGCATGCCAGGCGAGTGCGTTACCGCTTGAGCCACATCCCCAGCTCTCAGTGGTTTTTTTTTAAAAATGTTTTCTTTTTCCTTCCCTAACTTAATTCTCTTGGTATGCTTAACACATCTTTTCCTTTAGAATCAGATTGAGCTTCTTGTTGCTATTGCTTATGTTTTTTGTGTTCAACTGAATATTCTTCTATAGAGTGATTCTAAGTCGACAAGCCCTTGACCTTTGGAGATTGTTCTAATGCAGGGACTGCTGCAAAACTAAGTGCCTGGGAGTGGGAAGAAAGGAAAGTAAGAAGTGCTGCTGAGTGTCAGGAAGGGGAAGAGGACTAGGGCCTGAGGATTTGATCTTACCAAGTGATCTGATTTCTTCAGAGAAGCTGGAAATAGGGATTTTTCTCTCTTGTGGTGTGTTTGATATCTTTTGATTTTTATATGTTGACCTGAATTGTTTTTCCAAATTGTGGATCAAAGAGAACACATGTGTGGCCCAGATTAGGCCCACAAATGGCCAATATGCAGTGTTTACCTTAAGGGGTAAGTTTTGCCTTTCAAAATATTTTTAACCAAGCAGAGTGTGTGGGTCTGATTGAGCCTAACCAGTTGAGATATCCTATTTTAATCACCTTTGACAAGGAAATACCTCTTAATAGTGGAGTTCAGACAAACCTTTTGCAGTGTATAACTCACTATAATTGCAGATGATAACTGGTACTTCTGTTTTGTGGTCTCTTGGGTGTAGAACACACTCTTAAAAAGAAAATAGATTGAGGCTAATATATCTCCAGCCTAATGTCTAATTTTTATGGTAGGACTTGTTCATATTTCTAAATAGTGTTTTTTTTTTAATCAAAGGAATCTATTAACAATAAGTAGATTTCAGAATCTTCAATATGTATTAGCAATTAAGGTTGAAAAAAATTAAAAACTAATCTTGGCTCTCCCTAGTTATCAGATGGTTATTCACTCAATTTGTTTTTCTTTCTTTAAAGATTTGAACATGGAATTCAATCCTTCAGATCATCCTCGGGCCAGCACAATATTCCTCAGTAAATCTCAGACAGACGGTATGTTACTAATTTATTTGTTTCTTTAAACAAAAAAAGCCCATGTTTATAGTTAGCCTAAATCTTGATTTTTCCATTTTCAATGTAAAATAGAATACCTTTTAGTGACCCTGAAGTATATTGTTAATGGTGATTCCTTTTCGTTTTCCTTCTTTTGTAATGAGTTGTTTTTAGAATTTGCCATTTGAAATAACTCTTAATTTTGCCAGTTAGCTGGATTATCTCTATATACATTCTGGAATTTGTACTCTGAGTCAGAAATTTACCTTTAAGAACTGATACTTGCATCAGTTCTCAAAATATTACACAGGTTTGTTACATTGGACAGTGTATAAAAGAAAGCAAATATAAATCTTAAGTAAAAGCACCCCTCTCTCTCTTGTGTTGCTTAGGTGCTGAATTGTACCTCTATACTAGATGCAGATGTTTTCTTTTTTGCTAAGCTTTTAATCAGCTTGTTCTTAAAGAGTCTAGGATCTTTGTGGTTTATCCTAGATGTATGTGGGATTTTTCCTAGGAGTTATTCTTTCTTTTAGCCTCTGGCTTGTGTCACTGTTCCTGGTCCTTGGCTACAAAGGGGAAATAAGATAACATTTATAGTACAGTGGTCGTAAATCTTGGTAGGATGCCTATAGAAAAGTATGGCATGTGATTTTATATTATAATAGGATATTATTTTATGATCTAGAAGTGCTATAGGTTCTATACTTGACTTTTTTGGCAAATTGCTAAGTTCTAATTTAGAGAAGATCCTGAAGTGACTAGAAAATAGCCAAGCATGTTTAAAACAGTAAGCTCATAACAAATTGATAACTCCTTAATAATGATTAGGTTAACAGTTTTGGCAAGGCATGATGTTGATGTGATCCTGGTTATCTGTAATTAAGCATGAAAAACTTTGGTGTAGTTATGAAACATAAATGTTTTCAAAAGTAAGAGTAGATTAGTATAGGCATCAAATACTTGTGAAGGCAGTTTTGAATGTATTGGATTACATAAAACTCACATTTTCCCCTCATGAAATGGGAGGCCATTGGGAGGGGTAGAATATTATAAGGGAAGGAAAATGACAGTGAGGATGACAGTTTGGGACAATGAAAAATGAAGGATAGAAGAATTCAGTGTATATACTAGCATCATTCAAAAAATGTTCTAACAGGATTGCATGAAATTATATCAGGGCCTCTAGGTGGTTGACACATATCTTGATTGCTACAACAGAAGAAGGATTGCTCCAGAAATAGCTTAGGGACATACTCCTTCCTCTTCCTCTTCTGGAACACCAGGCATTAATTGCTTTAACCCCTTGGTTTATCGCTTTAGTTTCTTAGATGCTAGATCTTTTCCATTCAGTGTGGAAATATGCTGTGAACATGCATGTTACAGGTGAAAAGAAAAATGACCAGTACTCTTTCCCCTTGTAGTTCTCCTCTATTCCTGTTCAGTGACACTTCTGTACCTCTGTATCACGCCTGCTTTTCCTTTCCATTCACTTTCCTGCTGAGGTTTCCCCCCAGCCTCAGTTCTGTGGAGTAAGGTTACTGGAGGACATTTTCCATCCTGCGGCTGTTGACCACTTTGGTGGCACTTTCCACCACCCACTTATCCAAGCTTCTTAAAACTTCTCTTTTTACTTCCTGTCTTTTTATTTTTTATTTTTTTGGTGGTACTAGGTATTGAGCGCAGGGGTGTTCTACCATTGTACTACATTTATTCTCAGTAATTTTTACTTTTTATTTTGAGATAAACTTAGTGAAATCCTAAGTTGTTGAGCTTTCTTAAAACTTACTATCCTCCGGCCTCAGCCTCCCAAGTCACTGGGATTATAGGTGTGCACACCTTGCTCTGCTTGGCTTCCCATCTTCAGCCAGGCCAATTTGCTAAGAATAAGTCCATCTAATAAATAATTGCTTTATCCACAATTAAAAGAAATAGATTGGGACTGGGGATGTGACTTAGTGGTAGAGCATATGCCTGGTATGTTCAAGGCCCTGGGTTTGATCTCTAGCACTGGGGGAAAAAAGAAGAGAAACTGGTCTTTAAAATACAAAACTTTGGTAACTGAATTTTTTGATGAAACGATTGTCAGAGAATTGACTATTTGGTGAATTGGCTTTTGGCAAATTGGTTCCAAGAAATCGTCCCTTTCTGTAAGTTCTTTCTTAGACATCATTCTAAGAAATAAGCTTCTCTTCCTCTATTCATCCCTTTAATTCTGATATTTCCCAGGGTTCTTTTGTCCACTCTCATATCTTTGTGGTCTTTTCACAGTTCATTGTAACTTTCATTTTAGTTTTAACGTCCAACCAGATTTTTCTTTGCAGTGTTCAAAACCCATGTATCCAGCTGCCTCTGGACATCTTTACAATTGAAGGTTACAGGTTCCTCTAACTCAATATGACCCAAAAGGAACTTAGGAACTCAGTTAACTTCCTCCCTTTCCTACCGTGCCTTGGTCCCTAAGCCAGGGAAGGCTTTGCATTTTCCTAGACTCTGCCTGCTTCTCCTGGAGCTGACTTTGCACTGCACACGCATCTTCCTAGCTCCACTTTCAGTGACACCATGCTGGCAGGAATTATACCACAGAAATTGGGAAATGCTACAAATCAGGGCATTCTTTTTAAAAACATTTTCCAGCACACCGTGGCATGTAGGTTATCTAAGGTATATTGAGTTTTTACCAAGCAGTAAGAACATAGCCCTTGAATCTGATTGACTTTCTTATTCCCTTTGCTGCCCTCTTAGGTTGGGCTCAAAATGTCCTCCCTTGGATTACTGCAGCAGCCCCCTAGGTTGGTCTCCTCAGCTTTGACCTTATCCCTCTCCAGACCTAGGTCTGTGTCGCTATTAAGTGAAAGGACTTCGTATGAATCAAATAAGATTATGTCACTTTTTTAGTCAGTTTTTTAAAGTGTTTTTTAGTTGTCAATGGATTTATTAATTATTTATATGCAGTGCTGGGGATTGAACCAGGGCCTCACACATGCCAGGCAAGCGCTCTACCACTGAGCCACGACTCCAGCCTTCTTTACTTAGTTTTTAGAATAACTCCCTGTTGTTGTCTTAGAACTAGTTGCTAGAACCTTCAGTCTAGGGTATGAGGCCCTCCATGGTCCGGCCTCTGCCTTCCTTCCCTGTCTGCCTTTTCTCTTCTTTTTGTGCCTCTGTGCTCTTGCAGTTTCTCAGATATGACACTTGCTTTCTGCCCTGAGTTCCGCTCTGTCTTTCACATGGCTCATTTCTTCTGCCTTCAGGGCTCATTTCTGCCATCACTTCCTTGATGAAGGTTCCCTTGACCCCTCAGGCTGGGTTAAATAGGCCTTTGATGAGCGCCTGCAGCAGCCTGTGAACCCTTGCTTTATAGTCAGAACCAAATTGGGATATTTAGTGTTACTGCCTTGTCTGTGCCACCCACTAACTTCTAGAGGGCCAGGAACAGTGTTCCCTGTGCTTCCCTAGTGCTTGTGGATGTGCCAGCCCAACTGGTTCAAAGAAGGAAAAATGACAGTGCCAGTAAACATTTTTGATTTGATTGTTGTAGTTCTTCACTTGGATAAATTCTCATTTCCATTGCATGACACTTCACACTTCTAAGAGGGCTAGAGCACTTCACAGTTGTGGGTCCTACCCACCTACCCACCCTATTTTTGTTATAATTGGAAGAAATATTGTAATTTGAGACAGCAAGGCCCACACCACTATTAGATTATTTTCTTTTGAACCTGGGATTTCTCTTTCCTTCGGGTTCATGTACTACTTCAGTGGTTTAGTCTTGAGTTTGGGGGCTGGAGGCCATTGTTGCGGTGATGACAGTTATGTTAGGACAGCTACTTCTTCAGATCACAGCCTGTAGCTCTCTGTTTTTTTTCAGCTTGCTCTCCTCTGCAGTCCTCTCAACCTCTTTCCTTCTCCAGTGCTTGATGGACAGACAAGCTCTGTGGGCCACATGCTTCACCTACCACCTATTCATTAGTCTGATTTAGATGGTACCTGCAATAAATAGAGTTTCTTGATTGTTAATTTCCTTTTCTGTCTAGATATCAAAGAGGTTTAGGCTGGACTTTGAAACTTTTTCTCATTCTTCAAAAAGATACTGGAAACTCCAGCAAGACTGAATGATAATAGAGTGCTTGCTAATTAGACCCTTCCAGCTTGAAGTTAGGGGTATTTTATCCAAAGCTGGAGTGACTGCCCTCTCTGTCATTTCTTTGCACAAATGAGTTGTGCAATGACAACTCATTTGTGCAAAGAGCCATTCAACCAAGAAGGGACCAAGGGTTTCTCATAGGGTGGAAAAAATTGCCAGAGGGAAGAGAGAAATTAGTTTGCTTGGCCTGCCTTGCCTTTTCATGGGATCACTTTTGCTTGCGGGGAAGAATTACATGCATTTTCTGTTGTCTGCTCCTTTCCTAGACCTATTTTAATTTATTGTGTTCAAAGATATGAGAGCTTATGCTTAAGTAGGAGAAAAGAGCCAATTTATATCATGTTTCTTTTCATTAGTATGTTTTTTAGAACCCTTTGCCTTAAAAAAGAAGTTGGACAGGGGCTGGGGTTGCGGCTCAGTGGTAGAGTGCTCACCTAGCATGCACGAGGCACTGGGTTCGATCCTCAGCACCATATAAATGTAAAATAAAGATATTGTGTCCACCTAAAATTTAAGAATAAATACTAAAAAAAAGAAGTCGGACAAAAATAAAATCGTGTTTGCGCATTGAGAATTCTGTGTTTCTCAAAAATCCTTAGATATAATTAAAGAATAAAAACTGTCTTTGAGTGGCTTAAAGCTGAAGTAGAAACAAAAAAATTCAGAAATAAAAATATGAACCATGTTTTTATTTGCAAATCTTTTCAGAAATACTAAAATTGAAGTAATGTTTTATGGCCCTTTCTGTGTGGGATGTGTCTGCTCCTGGGCATAGTTGAACTTTACATAGAAAGAGGACCGACCTTTTTGTCTTCCTTTTATCTGGCATTTAGGAGCCTGTGTGTCCTGTCTC